TTTTTTTTTTTAATGTCAGTTCTTTTGGCTACTACACCGTGCGACAAAAATCTAAAAATTTCAAACACACAAAAGAATCAATACACTCGCAAAACTATGGGACTAGTAATAAACTGCGTTTTTAGCTTTTCTTTTTTGACGTTAGGATTTTTTTAAAAGGACTTCGAAATATCTATGACTAAAAATTCATAACTTCTCAGTGTTTATGCGTAGAGGACAAAGAGAATTATTATTTTCAATTTATTTCAATTAATATGCATTGAAGACGACGACTTCGTTTTCGTGTCACACGAAATTTAGTAATTCAATTAATGGCATTTAAAGTGTGCGCAGGTTAACACCTTTCTTTCTTGCGAACTCCTTTAATGTCTTATTTGTTTTACNAGCTTTTCTTTTTTGACGTTAGGATTTTTTTAAAAGGACTTCGAAATATCTATGACTAAAAATTCATAACTTCTCAGTGTTTATGCGTAGAGGACAAAGAGAATTATTATTTTCAATTTATTTCAATTAATATGCATTGAAGACGACGACTTCGTTTTCGTGTCACACGAAATTTAGTAATTCAATTAATGGCATTTAAAGTGTGCGCAGGTTAACACCTTTCTTTCTTGCGAACTCCTTTAATGTCTTATTTGTTTTACACATACATATTTATATTATCATCCATCAGTTGAGACTTAGTTCGCAAGAGGAATTGGATGATTGCCAACAATTACGTAAATATCTGTTGCAAAAGCCGCCTGAATTGTGGAGGTGCGTGTGTCGAATGGCCCGTGCCATTGACTCATTCCTATTCGTATTATGTTTTCTTTGTCATAACTTTAAAAGCCGAATAACAGCAATAATAACGCAATCCATCATAACATTTCTATCGCATCGAAAAGGTCAATAATGATATAACTGCAACAAAAATTTGTTTGAGCTACTCTGAACCATTTAATTCTGGATTTGGTAAATTTAGTAGTTCTTAGTCCTTTGGTGGTGGCAAACGAAGTGTTTAAGTTCTATTCATACTTGTGATACACGAAAGTGCCTTATTGTAATAGTCAAACAAAGTGATAAAAAGACGTGTCTCCACGTTGAGAATGTCATTCGCCTGTGATACTTATAAGTTTAAGACGTTCGAGTTGTACTACAGGTAAGAAGCATTTTTTTTTTTAATGATGCAATTAAAAATAAATTTATAACTGCCGGTTCCACGAAAGCAATTTAAGTGAAAAATTATTTTTATTTTTTCAAATTAAATTAAATTCAAATATAATAATCATTTTTCACAAAGTTGGAAAGCAATTCAAGTGAAAAATGATTTTAATTTTTTGCATTTTATATGGAAATTGACAGAAAATAAAAAATCATTTTCCATTTAAATTGCTGGTGAAATTGACTGTAAGGGTATGGTGTTGAAATTAACAAACTGAATTTAGGCTGTTCCAATTCGCATTAGATTACTAAAATTGTATTGACAAAGTTGAGCATTGCGAACTATTAGTGTCATAGCGTTAATATGGTTCAAATATAATAAAAGAGATTCAATTTTCCTATAAAACTTAGGATTCTAGTACAAGTACTTTGGATTCTTAACCGATCTCTGACATACATCGGGTTTCCATCCAAGATTGGGATTCTGACAATCTCTACGCAAAACTTTCATCGCCGAAATTCTACAAATGAAAAGCAGTGTAGCCTAAAAGTATAAAACTTGAAAAAGTAACAATTGCAATCAGCGAAATCTGGTAATATGACGGACATATAACTAGATAGTACATGTTGTTAGGCGCGCCTTCAATTCTTTTAAATATTTTTGGCGATCAAAATTAGCGAAAATGATTTTCAGAATCCCGTTTCTGTAGTAATCACGATAACGCCGGCTGTGCTTTTAACCAAACCCACCTCTCCACAAGTATCTGGATCCACTGAATGACTCGTACAACTCCTAAATTTCGAGCTAATTGCGAAAATTGTGAAAAAAAATGGCAGGTACACCTCCGAAATTTCGATATCAAACGGACCTCAGATTCGGATTCAGAGGTTCGAAATAGGGTCTGGTTAAAAGCACACACCATTTTTTTTGTATGCCGGTGTAATTAATATATGGTTTCAGTCCATGGTTCAATAATAAAAGGTTTGCTCAGAAAACAGTTTTCTCGCTCCCTCTTGACAAAATCGTCTCCCTTAGCAAGGCACTGTGTGTGGGTTCGTGTGTGTGTACGCTAAGCTTTTGTAAGGAAGGTTCCAAACTCTAATGTCACTAGTGAGTAAACCTTTAATTATTGAATCATGGTTTCAGTCAGCTGGTACTGCTTTCTTCAGCTTACAAGCTCAAAAAGTACAATTAAAATTTGACAAGGTATGACGAAAAATCGTTCCACAATAAATCATACTCCTACCCAGTCAGAAACACCAACAACCCAATTAGAATACATTTCAAAAGCTCAATGTTTAAAAAAAGGTCACAAATACATAAACAACTGTAGCTATTAATTATTATTTTTTTGATCATTTCTATTTTTCTTTTTTTTTTTTGGTTTTCTAGCCGACCCGCTAATGTAGCAGAAAAATATACATCATTGACCAGTGATGAGAGTTTAGCGACAATGGAGACCGTCGATGCAGAGGAGCACGATTTGCCCAATTTTCAGCGTGTCTCCATTTCTGGTGAGGATACTAGCGGTGTGCCATTGGAGGATTTAGAACGCGCCTCCACCCTACTAATACAAGCGTTGGAATTACGCGAGCGCTATATGTTACATTCTGGTCAATCATTCCCGACAACAACTCGCCGTTTTCTGAAAACCGTACACGAACGTAATCGTTTCGGTACGATTGAGCACGAGAATCGAAAGACCATTGCTGGTAAGTTTGATCTGTTACGGCTTTTGTTTTGCTATTAGAAGAGTACTTACTCATAGGCTACACACAGTTCTCTAATAATTTGTAGAGGGTTATCGAATTTCGATATTTTTGTTCTAATCTAGATTTTAGTAGCAAGTTTTCAATTTTGATTACTCTATAAATACTACATACATACATACTATGTACATAGATATGTACACATCTTATTTGGTTTATTTTAGCAATAATTCGATTGGTGTAATTTTAATACTTATTACATGTACTTATTGTTTATATTCTTTTATTGTAAATATGTACAAAGCAAAGTTGTAGGATTTTTAACAATCTAAGTTCCTCCAAATAACAGTTATACACTTAATATACATATATTTAGTACAAACGCAAACGTCGCTTTGTCGTGTCGTTTTTCTTCTTGCCTATCGCACTGCAAACTTTTTTCCATTCTTTTTTGTATTCATAACTATTTGCTGTAAAGTTGAATTTTCCAAAAATAAATTTTTCAAAATTGATTTTCGTGCTAGTTTTAGTCACATACTTTTCCTTTTATTTATTTGTTTTTTTTTATCTTTTATAATTTTTCTTTTGGACAAATATAAATATTTTATTTCCAACATTATTCTTTTATAGCTATAATACGCAAGATCAGCCTCCCCAGTTCGCAGACAGGTAATTCGTTCGTTTTTGCATTTCACCACTGCAGCGGGCGAATGAGTTCTGTATTTTATCTTTGGTTTTTTTTATGTGATTTGCTATTCTTTGTTTCAATTTCAAAATTTTATTGCACAGTTAAGACAATGAGTTACATGCTTATACACTTATGTGAATGTAAATCATCTAGAAATCGGAAATGTTCCTAGGACTTTTCAATATTTATGTATTTATGTATGTTGGAATGTGATTGATCTGCAATTTATTGCCATGTTTATCTTTTAGCTTTGCTTATGTTTTCCTGATTACAAATTTATTATGACAATTTAGTTATTTTTTTTTTTTTATTTTTTTTTTTACATTTCCTTTGCCTCCATTAATTTTGCGTTTGAGTGTTTCTATTAATTTGCACGCAAAATTTCTTCCGCTTTTTTGAATTCTTTAAGTTCTTTGTTCTGCTTTGTGTTTAAATCCAGACTATATTTCGTTCGCCATTTTACGCATCAAATTATACATATATGTGCATACTATATGTATCGGGGTTTATACAAGTTTACATGCAGCTGTTGATTTAATAAGAAATCATGTAGAGGAGCTACCATTTGTATCTTATATATTATCAATCTGTCGGCTAAATAAATCAACAGCCTTGTGACTCATCCCTTTGTATGTCTATATGCGAGGGCAGCTACATATATTCTGCGACTAGTAGGTGTTGTCTGGTTCAATCTGACATTTTGAAAATCGGCAAAATCTGTGAATGCCGTCCAAACTCAGACGTTCTATTGGAACTAATAATGCAAGACAGAGATTTGATCGTGTCAATGAACCGCCTTTTTGACGGGCATAAACAGCGCGTTGCTGAATGATTTGAGGTACACCCACAACCTGACACCTAATATCTTGTTTTTATTTCCTCAAATCAAAACAAAATTTCGTGGTCAAGGGTTTTTGGCTTCCAAATAACCTGTTGAAAGGTTGAAAGCCTATATTTTCGAGGTTCCTAAATGAGAGGGGAATAATGGTACCTTAAATGATTTAAGCTTATGTAAGAGATATGTTTATGAAGCTGTCCTCATTTATATGTAGTACATACTCAGGAGATTTTTAATATCCATATGTACACTGCCGGAACAAAGTATTGGCACAGCCAACTTTTCACGATATATGCAAGAATTTTTGTATAAAAATATGGTTCATTCAACAACAAAAAACATAAAAATATAATTCCTAAACTTTGTGCAAATGTCACGAAAATTCAGCAAATTTTCATAAAAATTTTCAACTTTTTAATCAGATTTTTTAGAATTTTTTTGAGTATGCAGTTTTGCAGCCCATTAAATTCTAGTAAAAAAACGCATGTTCGGAGTTAGTCAAAAATCGTGTTGATTTTTGAGAATTTGTTCTTGTGGAAGGTGTTTTGCATTTTTTCCATATAAAGTATTTTCGAAAATAATTTTTTGTATGGAAGAGACTGCGTGAAAAAAATTGCCAAAAATCAACGGTAAGTCCTAGCTACTTAAAACTTATTATAATAAAATTGATTGGGCTACAAATCAGCATACTCAAAAAAATTCTAAAAAAGCTGATTAAAAAATTGAAAATTTGTATGAAAATTTGCTGAATTTTCTCGAGTTTTGCACAAAGTTTAGGAAGTGTACATATTCTGAAAGTAGCTAAATTGTGAGTCGACTTTGAAAAGTAGAAATCTATAATACTTACAACAAAATGCTTTACAAGCACCAAGGCCTTACATATTTAAATATTTCGTTGTTTACTTCAATTTTTTAACAAATGTAAGGTTTTTTTGCTTTCAGCGCCTTCTGTTTTTATTTACAAATGCAATCCTGCCTATCGTTTGACACTTTTCATGAACTTGCAGGAAGAAAAACCTCGTGCAAGATCCTATAACTTCGGACTGAGAAGAGTTGCTCTCTTACTCTCTCAAAAGTGTTCCCAGTGAGAGAAATTCTTGTGTACGGTAACGACTTCCTGTAATTTAATACTATTTCTTACTATGTCCTGGACCACTGGAACAAAGTAATTGATCCATTCTTAGCAAGGTCCAATAATTACCGTTTGTGCTACTCAGCTGAGCGAACGGTTTCAAAGTTGGTCTTCAATCGCTTCTTTTTGTGAAAAAAGGTTTCCCATGAAAATATATTTTGGAAATTTGGAGTTTTTGTGAAAAATAATAGACAACCTTTGACACTTTTTAGAGACCAAATTATTTGGAAAAAA